GCTTGATTTAATTCAGCAGAACCATTCAGCACCAGAACAATTCGAAACAAAACGAATGAAGCTGGGGACAAGCCGAAGCTTTCGCCATCACCCACGGCTTGGAGCAGCTTATCCATAATCATTCGGCCAACACTCTCGACATATTTCGCACATATGCTCAGCACCTCACACCTCCAAGGATTGAACAATTCCAACACCTACCTCCTCTTTCTATCCTACCTAGTATCGCATTATAATCTCCAAATATTATAGGAGAATTTTTTTCGATTTTTTTTCAGGATGATGTGATATTATATTCAGGACCCTCACAATCGTGTTATTTGGGAGTGAAATGGAATTTCAACCCAGAATGAGAAAAACGCTATTCATGGAGAAATATGCATTTATTGTTCATGAACTGTTATAAAAAGTGGCGAAACCACTAATTTTGTTGTTCAAGCACAGGCATAAGCGTACATTGCATTTTCAACATCTCGTTCTTGAACGGCTATCGCAACTTTCCAGTCAGCAAGTCCGTGTTTATTTCGGAGAATCAATGACAGGCCAGTGGTCAATTTCATTATATCGCTTGTCATTTGTTGGAATAGAAGCTTTTTTATTCGCTAGAAGAACGGTAGGTTTATTGGCATTTTCATCCACCCACTCAACAAATATTCCTCCGACACGTCTACCCTCGCGTCTACCTGTTCATGTGCATTCAACTCCCACTGGTCATCTTTATCGGAATCGATTTCCAGATATAATTCAATCTGATCCAACTAATCGTAAATTTCATCTCGATTTCTTTGCAATTCAGAATTCTTGAAATGAAGGACAGTTTCGACACACTGTACGCTTCCGGGGCACACAAATATGTCCTGATATCTGATCCCGAAAAAATTTTGGAAACGGCCACTGTGAACCACCATGTTGAATCATGTTTCCATTTGCCATTCAATGCATACAATCATTCACAATATCATAATTATTTAGTTGATGTTTTTGATTCACTCACCTCCAGGAAACATTTTTCAGTCGAGACCAATTGCACCACACAATGATTAATTTTTCTTACGCCGCCTGGCAATGAGCAGCAAATGCAAATAGTGGCTGGTTCTCAATCCAACAAAATAATATTTTGATCCTTATGAACCACTAAGATAATGCCCGTACAATTGTGAGGGTACGGAGCGTGAGGGGTATGTCACCAATGTTACCAAACCATAATTATATTGGAAAGACTCACCAGTCACCTTTCATTTGTCAAATGTCTGCAGATAGTTGTCACCTGCCATCAGCGGCCATTTTGTTGGTGCATTCATGGTAAATGTTTTGTGTTGTATACGCTATATCGATTTGGAATTCATAGGTAATATGTAGTAGATAGTAGCTGACTGTAATATACGAATCAATTGTCAGGGAAATCAACACACTTCTGACTACTTGTTCCGAAACCATATTTGACTCCATTTTATTTTCCATCAAATTGTTATCAATTTCTTCGGAAAAAGTGTTCCAACGGGCGGTTGTTATGAGAGCTATGGGTAGACATCTCTCGAACTAGTTTTTCGATTGCGAAATTGGTGTACTCATCTTCTTCAAAATGAATGGACTGAGTATCGGTATGCAGGTGAACTCACTATTCATAATCGAGGTAGCAGTGACATAAATTCTTCTGTATTCCGAACGACACATTTTAATGATGATATAATGAAGTATGAAATTCTGCTACCACAATAATAAGACCTGTTGATTTGGGATTTCCAGAACGCTTCTGGCATCAATAATACTCTCACCGAACTAATTAAAGTGTAAAGTAAACTCTTCTGTCTGTATTTGCAATCCATTTACCCTTATTTCAATCCAAAGGCACACGTTTAACAACCCTCAATTAACCGGCTGAGTTAATGTTCGTTCTGCCAAGAGTTTTCAGGTACCTAGTTGACTCTCAGAATAGCTGCTTCATTCCATTTTCCATTACAATTTTATTTATTTCTTTGGGAAAAATTTGCTGGCGTAATTGAAGTTCTTTGGGTGGAAATTTTCCCAGTGAGAAATGGACCATGAAATATCTAGAAATTCGAGGAATTAATGTAAATCAGCGCCGTTTGCATAACTGATGGCTCTTTTTGAATTATAAGGCAATAATGTTGAAGCCATTTGAGAATTGAATATGCATGAGTACAGGGTGGCAAAGAAGACATGTAGCAACCAAACTATTTTTCTGCTTCGAATGACGTAAAATGGAATTATAAAGAATGTTTGACCTCTAAATGAATGTTTCTTCTATTAGTGAACAGATCAAAGTTTCTACTGCAATAAGCAATTAGCAAATAAAGGCAGCTACTAGTAAATCACGTTGGTTTGAGAAAGGATATTACATAGTCGGTGACGAAGAAGAGGAGAAAATGCTGGAATGTGCTGAAACTGTAGTCCTATTTCTCTCCAGGAAAAAGAGAACTAACGATTAGGCAGGTCAACGCTGTCAATGATGATCCTGCCCAAAGTACAGTCTGGGGAACCAATAACCTAGTTGAATTGAACCCCATTTCATTCAAAGCCTGCGTTTTCTCTAGAAAGGTGAAACAAAGTATGCCTGATATAATAATGTCTGGTTCAACTATTCTCACCAAGTCCACTATGCTCGGTATTTCCATCAGCAATACTCTTTCATAGGGCGATCATGTCCGATCTATCGCGAAAGCTGATCCACAAAAACTCGGATTCTTGTTACGTGCCAAAATCTACTTCCCACCTCAACAGCTTTTTATTTTCTACAATGAACAAATATGGTCAGTTTCAGAATACTGTTCTCACATATGGGGTTCGTCACACACACATACGCTGATGCTCTTAGATTCCATCCAGAGAAGAGAACATCTACGAGAAATTCAATCATTTAGATTGTTTAGAATGAAATTAAAAGAATTGCTATCCACTCATCTTTTTCACAACGTGAAGGAATTTTTTAGTAGTGAACCCTTATGTTAGCATCAAAATACGCTTGCCTCAATATTTTAGGATTGATTTCATATGTTTGCATCCTGTGGCTTCATCTGCACATTTTATTATATTATGTCTGTATTTGTACCATCTTTTGGTTTCCAAAGTTCTTGATGTTTTCAATGTTTCAATTTTTTAATATTTCTAATATTTTCAATATTTTTAACATTCCTGATATTTTACTTTGTAATACCTATACAATGACTTTGTCGATAAGAACTATTTCTTCTGACAATTTGATGATGATGATGATGATGATGAGCCTTTCGCCTGGTTTGTGGTGCCACAATCACTAGTTATTTGATCTCATAAGAACACCGTAGGAAAGTAGGTAATTCTGATCCTTCAGGTTGGGAAAGTAGGATACATTGAAGTTAGGCAAGCCAATGATTATTTCATTGTAACAGTGTTTCACCTGATGAAGCTACTGTGTGATCAGGAATTTTGTGGAAATTTCATCGTTTTCAAGTTTTTTCATTTGCTATGGATTTCCATCAAGTTATGGCCAAGTCAATGCGGAAAAAGAATTCAAGAAATCGGTATAATGTGATGGTGATATTTAATTTCTTCAAATGGCATACGAAGTGGCTTTTCTATGACACTCAACAGGCAGCGAAGGTGTACTGTCTCTGCTTAGGCAGGCAAAGTTCGTTGCTATGAAACACACAGAGAAATAGTCGGCCGTGAATACCAAACGTTTCTATGCGTTTAGTAAAATATGCGCCAGTCACTACATTCATCAAATAATACCATAACGAAATTGTAATATACTTTACTATTAAGTATCATACTATTCTGTAGTGGTATTATTTGATATAGTATAGTTTTCCTTCTACCCAGAATTTTACTCATCGACAGCTAGTTGCTGATGATACGCATATGAACTGAAGAGAACCGCGGAGAATATAACAACATAGGCGAAGTTCATAAAAATGGTTGAATGAGAAATGAAGTTTAATTGAGGCTAGAAACTGGATGTTCATTAGATTTGAGATGAATCACGTTGACTAAGTTTTGATTCGACTCAATCACTAAGATTGAAATAAATGGTATAGTTTACAAAGACAAACAACACGCTTTTATCAAAGATGGTCAAACTTAAAAGAAGTAGAAAACAAATGATGGACGTCTTTATTGAGGGACCTTTTCACCATGTTTCTGATCAAACTGTTTCTATGCCCTCAGAGTGCATGCAATTTCAGGTAGTCTGTCGTTTGTCCTAATTCGAGTTCATAAACACTTTATTTTGTAAACTCAAGTCGTTCCCTGCCTGTTGCAGTGCATTTCTCATTCGAAATTTGAAGGTATTCATTATTTCAACGAGACGAATAAATGTCACCGATATTCGTATGATTTTATATAGCCAACAGTAACAACACAAGTGCTTTATTTAATCGGATAAATTTCTTGTGGTAACGAGAAACATTTGCCGATCTGTAATTTCACGAGGAGAACTGACATGAAAAAATAGCGAGACCGTAATTCGAGCAATTTTGTCTAATGTCAGTCTTTCGAGAAAAATATTTGATGAAAATGTTTGAGTAAGTAAGGAAATTAATTCAATTGTAAAAAAGTTCGAGTGTTTTTTGGCAAGATAAATCAACGACAATATACGAATAAACAACAATAATAACTACCTTAATTGATGATCCCGTGTAACTGATAGTTTGAGGAATCGATTATCTCATATTTTCGTGGTTTCTTCAGACAGAAACAAATTTTCCCAACACGGCTCATCTTGCTAATTTACGCGTGAACCATGTCCATCAATCAAACTTGACACGATAGAAATTGAAATGACATCAGGAGCAAATAGCTACTAGATAAAAGGAGCAGCCAATTTATCAGCGATAAAAAAGTGCATCCTTTTTATCGATGTCAAAATGACTCACGTCGTCGTCAAATAGCGTTTTCCGTGTAGGAGTTGATTTATCGTTATAATACTTTCTAGTCACACAATCCTCAATTCAGAAACGAACATACTCACATAGAACGTGTAGGACGATCTGTTCGGACACGTCATCTCCGACGCCGTTCGCCGCCGTGCATTGATAGACCCCCGCCTGGTGCCTGTCGACTCTTTCAAGGCTCAGAGCGGGCGCGACGGCTGTTTGCACGCCGTCCGGTAGCAGGTTGTTCTTGCGCGACCACGTGACCTTTGGCGTCGGGTTGCCCGACGCCTTGCACTCCAGCCGCACCGAGGAGCCCTTCTTCACCTCGACGCGGCCGTTCGACGTCACGTAGTGGATGCGGGGCGGCACTGGAACGAACAAGTTTTATGAGCTTCTATTATTTCTTAACTAGTTTGAATGAGTCTAAAAAGGGGTATATATGAGGTGTTTGAGTTTTCATGAGTTTTTGAGTGTTGATGAGTTTATGTGTTTTGAGTTATGAGTTCTCAAGAGGTTTCAGGTGTTTTTATGGGTTTTTTATGAGTATTCATGAATTTTTCGAAGTTTTCATGCGTTTTCATAAGTTCTAATGACTGTTCATGAGTTTTTATGAGTTTTAATGTGTTTCACGAGAGTTTATCGGAATTGAAGTCTGTTTATGAGAGTTTATGAGTGTTTTCAATGTTCCGATGATGATGTTTCTGTTTTCTCATGTCTTGAAGTGCAAAATAGAAAATTCTCATGATGTTCGAAGAACCTCGTGCGATTGATGAACATTCATGGCATACCCGTTTAACATGGAAGACACGTGTATGCATCGGTTGTCTCAATTTTATGTCTAAAAGGATGCGGATAACATATTCAATTTCCTTGAATACCTTGCTCATCTAGGTGAGATGCATTGAAACAACAATACGACATAACCATAGATACAAATTTCTCAAAAATGATTATGGTCGACTCCATGCATTTCTGCAGCATCAAGGAGTCTCTCGGTGGGCACTGCGATGAAATATGCACTCTATGAGTTTCTTTAGGATTTCACGAGTATCAATCATGAGTAACGAATGTTTATTAACGATTGTCCATGGGTGCGGAAAACTGCGAGTATCTGTTCTTGGATCTAGTGAACAGGATATTCCAATAATTGAACTAACATGGTAGATGGAATACGTCATCATGAGAATCATATGTATAATTTGTGAGTCATATTTCAACTCCTGAAAAGATAGTTCATCTGAAATACCTTTGTTCTCATGAGAGTTTGTATGAGTCTAAAAAGGGGATTATATGAGTTTTTTGACTTTTTATGAGTTTTTGAGTGTTCATGAGTTTATGTGTTTTTCTGAAATTTCAAGAGTTTCCAAGTGTCTTTATGAGTTTTTTCATGAGTATTTATGAATTTTTCGCAGGTCCTATGCGGTTTCATGAGTTTTTATGACTGTTTATGAGCTTTCATGAGTGTTAATGTGTTCCACGAGAGTTTATGGGTATCAGAGTCTGTTCATGGGAGTTTATGAGTGTTTTAAATGATACGAAGATGATGTTTCTGTTTTTTCCATGTCTTGGAGCACAAGATAGAGAATTCTCATGATGTTCGAAGAACCTCGTGCGATTATTAAACATTCATGGCATACCCGTTTAACATGGGAGAAATGTGTATGCACTGGTTTTCCTAATTTTATATCTACAAAAATGCGGATAACATATCCTGAAATACTTCGCTCATGTTGGTGAGATGCATAAAGGTTATCCATTGAAACAGCCCTGCGACATGACCATAGATACATAACTCAATACAAATTTCTCACAAGAAGAATTGTGGTTGACTTCATGCATGGAGGTGGGTTCTGAGATGATATAAGCACTCTATGAGTTTCTTCAGAATTTCACGAGTATCAATCAGTACTAACGAATGTTTATTAACGATTGTCTATGGGTGCGGAAAACTGCGAGTATCTGTTCTTGGGTCTTATGAAGGAGATTTTTCAATAATTGAACTGACATGGTAGATGGAATACGTCAACATGAGGGTCATATATATATATAAACTGTGAGTCATATTTCAACTCCTGAAAATATAGTTCATCTGGAAAACCCTATTCAATTTCTATGGTACCATTGAATCGCTTGTGACTTAACGAATGATGTGATGCATTCGCGAAGAGCATGATATTGCCTGCATTCCAGTTGAACCAAGAAGAGCGAGACTAGAACATTACTATAATATTAGACTACTATATCAGATACCTACATTAATGGAATGATTAGAACGCTGTGATTCAGAGTTTGGGACAAGATTTGATTCGATTCAAGACTGTGAGGATGTAACAGTTTGAAGCGAGTTCACGTATTCAATACATTCCTGTACAAACATATACAGGATGGTCCAAGTTGAACGTCATTAATTTTGATGGGCGATAGAATAACGGAAAAAAAGTGAAATTTCATGGAAAAACTCTGGTTCGAAATGCTTCATAACAAAGATGCAGGATGTCAGAGTTCGACACCTCGATCAAGTTTTCGACGGGCCATTAGGTTTAAAATCATCAGGAACATCACTTCAATGTGTACTACATAATGATCATCAAAATCCTTACTAGTCACCAACTTTACAGAAACTTAGCAGGTTTAGCTTTTTTGCAACCCTTCATATTCAAATAAGTAACTCAAAAACGAAGCATTTGATTAAACAATTGCAGAAGTATTTCCAATCTTCAAATTGAACAAGAAATTCAAAAATCGAATGTTATTTGTGAAATATCCAGTGAAACCTGAAATTTGAAGAGGGAGAATGAGATGCCGACCTTCAATATCTACGACACTGGAGAATTTCTCTAAATGATTCCAATCATAGCTCAGGAATTCGGAACATTAGTCTTTGTGTAGAATTTGATCGAAATCAGTCGAGTGGTACGAAATTTATGATGAAAAAAACCTATGTTTCTCCAGAACTTTGACATCCTGTATCTTCGTTAGGAAGCATTGGTAACCAAAGATTTTTCATGAAATTCTACTTCTTTCCCGTTGTTCTATAGCGCCTATAAAAATTGATGACGTATTACCTGAACCACACCCTGTACATATATTGTGAAATTTTGAGCGTAGTTTATTTATTTTTGATGTTCTAGTGTACGTATTCTTGTTGACCTATCTGATTAACATTTTATAACTCCTACTCCAGTTTCTATATTGGGAGCTGAACTAGAAGATATTGCAATGTTATGATTTTCAACAACGCTTGGAATACTACGATGACTGTTGACGAGTTTTGATGAGTACTTACGAGTTCTTATAGTTCAAGGGTATTCAAGATTATTTCAGAATGTTGTGGAACGGGTGTGATAGCGAAGGTGAAACAACCTTATATGGTGGATGATTGTCATAATAAGAATGAGAGCATGTTTTATTTCCAATTTTCTGAAGAAAACAGGTTTTATTCCCAAAGTGTCACATATGAGTGAGTATTTGTGTGCACGTAGTAGTTGTAACAAGTTCATTTGAATCTTGATATGGCATTTGAAAATACAAACTCAGATACTTTGATAGCTATTTCGATATGCGCATCTTCGATGATCTCATTATGAATCATATTATTATGGATGGAATCTCTTCTTCTCAAATACAAGGTGATGTAACATAAGGAACCAGAAAAAAATGATGTTCATAGACAGAAGAAAGCAGGTATAGCCATTTGAAAAAAAAAAAAAAATGATGCTGTAATAACTCGAACAATGATGACGTCATCAAAAATATAAGTAAACTGAAAAATGCGCAATTGAGAAAGAAAGTCGACGTGTTTTGAGATGTTTCTTTTAATGAATTTTTTACGTGCTCACTGGACAAGAGTTTGAATTGAAAGTTTTTCAACGAATTACATTTTTCATCAAAAAGGAATATACCACACCAAATTTGACGGTTCGTATGACTCGAATTTATAGGTTGCACATATTGCTGACATTCCTGATGGATGTTATCCATGATAGTTATTATGTATCAAGGGCGTAAAGTACCTAGGCGTTTATGGCCTGCAGAGCGAATTATTGACCAATGGCGTCAGCCAAGGGCTAGAGCATAAAAGTTTTTGTTGAAGGTCCTCAACTGTCCTATGTTTAGATGCTCAGGAACTCGTACAACTGATTTCTCAACATGAATTAAGAAAAAGAATATGTGGGGATCGTATATGAATGGCAAGATAATCAAAATGCTATCTGAGATATTTTATTCAGCTATATCTATCTGTAATTTCAGAATCATTGGGGATCGGATTTCAAAATAGGTGGGTAGCGAGTACCTATATCAAATTGCTCATTATTGATTGACGAAATGATTTCGGTTCTTTCATTTCTGGTTCCTCCGCAAACGACTTCAACTCTCGATATTTAAATGGAACACCCTGTGTTTCATTTCATGATCGATTATATTCATGTGATCGACTATAATGTATATCATAGATGACATGTATATTCATAGGCGTATGGGACACGACGTTTCAAAAATTAATTAACACGTGATATATCTAATATGTCACGTATACGTGTCTGCAAACTGCTAATGCATTATAGTCTTGTGAACAACTATAATGTGTCGACAGCAATTCGAAGCAGTATCTTATATGTGATTTTTTATGTGTCATTGAAGGTGTAGTTGGGCACCTGATGCTACGTTTCAGTATGGTGCAGAAACCAAACTGATCCTTGCGATTTTTTTTCACTCGTAGTTATATCCATCGAAGAAGGCGAATTCAAAAAATATATCTACACTCGAAGGGAATTATCTGAATATGATTGATATTCAAATCATCAATTTTGTACAAAGGTAGGCGTATATTCTTGTTTCGGGTAGAATGGAAAACGAGAGGCGTTCGGGCCGTTAATCCTGTTACCAAACTAATAAATATGTCAAGGCTGATCACGTAACTCCAAACAGCCACGAATGAAGAAAATATCTCAAGACATTATTTACAAGCAAAGGGAAGTTTCCGTCGAAACTTCCAACGCTACTCCAAGACGAGGGTTTTATTTTAAGTGGCAAGTTAATATACCACACATTACAACGAAGTGTATAATTCTTAATTGAAACGAAACGGGCCAGAAAGAGTAAGTGGTTACTGGATATAACACGCTGTCTCATATGTGTAGAATTTAGTCGAGAGCATGTGTAACTGGAATGTAATTCTACAGGCCTCTATAACCAAGTACCCCTGAAACCTTGGCAAACTCCCAAGCATTTTACAGGCGGGAATTGTCGCTATACCTATATAGGGAAATGTGATCAGTCAATCAGAGCGGTGAGATCTATTGTGGTCAGCGGAAGAAAAAACTCAACTAGCTAACAGAAATGTTGCTATATTGCTGTCCCACAATGA